GATTGCCTCGCCCCCTTATATTAAACCAACCCAAAACGCGCTTTACGATCATTTCCAGTCCATTTGTGCTGCGTGCGCTACCCCAATTGTTTTATATAACCATCCTGGACGTACTGGTGTCGAGCTTTCTGAACAACTGATTGAATCTTTAAGTAAAATAAAAAATATCATTGGCCTAAAAGAGACCAGTACCGACTTAAAGCGTGTAAAAGATTTACGATCCAAGCTTCCAGAGCCCTTCCTTTTATTTTGTGGAGATGACCCCTTAAATGCAGATTATCTGCGCCTTGGTGCCAATGGGTGTATTTCTGTCACAGCAAACATTGCCCCAAAAGAAATGTCTTCTTTTTATAAAGCGTGGGAACAAAAAGATGATGGCGCGTTCAATGCCTCCCTTCAACATGAGACTCTGCTCGGACGAAATGCGCGCGCCCCTAAAGTCGCTCAGCTCTCAAGGCAGTGAAACAATGCGCCCTATTTTAGAAGCTGCAAGCCTTTTAAATTCCCCTATCCAACAAGAAGAGATCCGTCATGGCAGCTAAATCTCCCAACACACAACGAGTTGTCGCCAAAAATCGACGCGCTCGACATGATTATACAATTACAGATACGGTTGAAGCAGGCCTGATCCTCACAGGAAGCGAGGTAAAATCCTTACGCGCAGGTCACGCTAGCATACAAGAATCTTATGCGGGCGAAACAGATGGAGAGCTCTTCCTAATTAACGCCCAGATTAACGAGTACTCTCAAGCCAACCGTTTCAATCACGATCCAAAGCGTCCTCGTAAACTGCTTTTAAAAAAACGAGAGCTCTCCCGTCTTTTAGGAGCTATTTCAAAAAAAAGCGTTACCCTTATTCCCTTGAGTCTTTATTTTAATGCAAAAGGCATCGCAAAGCTGGAAATTGGCTTGGCTGTGGGTAAAAACAAAGCCGACAAACGTGAAACAGAAAAGAAGCGGGACTGGCAGCGAGAAAAAGCGCGCCTCATGCGCGACAAAGGATAGGTTTGGCACTTTTCCTTTAGAAGACCAGCCCTCCTCTCACTCAAACACGTCTCGATGATTAAACACATGTCCAGTTAATGGAGAACAGGAAATAAAGCGAGACGATAACGATCTAGAGGTCGCTCACCCCCCAAAAAGGCTGAGGAGAATGGGAGTGAAGCTCCGCAAACTTTCTTACACAGCCTTCTATATCATCTTTCTGTGATATACTCCTTCTGGTGCTATTGATCAGAAGATAGCTCGTCTATGCACTCAACTGTTAAGCCTGGAGGGAAGTGAGCATCCTCAATAAGGGAAATTAACACGCACAATAGACGCCCCTATATTGTTACCATTGAGGTCGAGATCTTCTACATCTTCAAAACTGAGCGACTTAATATTGCAGAAAGTTGAGAAAACTTTTTTTAAATTAAATTCTGACGGAATATTTCTAATCTCTCTCACAAGCTACACTGCCCCCCATAGTCAAGACAGAAAATCGTATTTTATAAGCTCAAATTCTCATCCTCTTTCTAGTTAAACGAAGCAACAAATGTTGCTG